CTTTCACTGTTCTTGCACACCGTATCAGCTGAAGAGTTTTAGTACTGTTTACCTAGTATCATTTCTGTTCCCATATGAAAAGGCCATCTTTTATTACCATGTTGCCCCACAGCCAATGAACAAACATATAAGAGGCGAAGATGTCCTCAAAGGCATGTCCTCAAAATAAACATGGTTGTCGTATCGACAAGAACGGGAGGGTCATTATTTTCCTCTGGGCTGTGCCATTTGTTTTTCAGTCGTCCCTGTGCATCTTCGTGGTGCATCTGGATCACAAGCCAACGTATGCTAAGAGGAAAGCAATGTAACCGAAACGTGTAGCAGAGAAACACGATATTTTCCTTCGTAACTTTCTTGAGAGGTTGCTCGAAATATGCATGACCATTGTAACATGGTCACACCTGAATATTCCTGGGCTTTTTGTGAGAGTTCATTCTGAAGTGGACCACTATGTATTTATTTGAGTAATATTATTGATCCACATTTTCCCCAACACCTCAGTGTCCGGGAAAGTCGTTGTAAGGGTAGCCAGTGTTTTAGTTCCCTATCTTTTGATATGAGCGGCAATGAAGTGAAATTTAAGGGCGAAGCTCTTTAGGCCGTGGGTCATGCGTCCGCGATGTATGTAGTAGTAGTAGTAGTAGTATTAGTAGTAGTAGTAGTAGTAGTAGTAGTAGTAGTAGTAGTAGTAGTAGTAGTAGTAGTAGTAGTAGTAGTAGTAGTAGTAGTAGTAGGCAGCCACCTCCACTGCTGGACTAGAGGAGCGGCTCACACACATTCTTTTGAATTGAGGAGGAAATCCGCGCCCACTAATCATCAATAAAAAGATATTTGTTTCTGCTAAAACAATATACTGAAGCGATTATTGGTGACTGGATCTCCAATACAATTTTTCTTGAATTTGATGCTTATTAAAAAAGATAGTAACAGAAGGACGCACTTTGAGCACTATTTGGCCAGAAAACGTTGCCACGTTACACTCGCTGGGTGTAATCTTCTTGGTTTTAGCAAGGTTTAGCGAGAGATAGGCTGCAGTGCCATGAGCTAGCGGCGGTGAAGGTGAGAACTAGACATGAAGCGCAGGCTGTAAGAGAGGGCGCGCGTGCCGCTTCGCCTGCTGTGCCACCTCTCGTTTAGTCCTTGGAATGTGCACTGGATGGCGGCACTTATGTATCGTGAATATATGATGAAATAGCAACAGAATCGAAAGCTGGGCTAGTTGGATATGCATGGTATAACTATCAGTTAAAGCGCGCGAAAAACAGACAGGAAGAGAGGACAAGCGCTTTCTCGCAACTAAACGGTCTATTAGAAAGGGCAGAATATATATACAGGCACTTGAAAAACACGAAGCTTGCATGTGCAGGCAAAATAGTACAACCACGGATGCCACGGATGTACTTTTTCGCCTGCACACGCATGCGTCGTGTTTTTCAATTGCCTGTATATATATTCTGCCCTTTCTAATAGACCGTTTAGTTGCGAGAAAGCGCTTGTCCTCTCTTCCTGTCTGGTTTTCGTGCGCTTTAACTGATAGTTATATGATGAAATGATGCGGGATGACGGTACTCGGAATGTTCACTAGATGTACGGACGGATGAACAGACAGATCGATGCAAGGAAGGACGGATGCACGGATGGGCACATGGACGGATGGACGCATGGACACACGGGCGGACGCACAGACGAACGGACGCTTGGACGGACGCATGCACGGACCGTTGGACGGACGGAAGGATGAAATCAAGAACGAACGGACGACGGAAGCGCAGACGGACCGATGGATGCTTCGCCTTACTGATCATCATGCACTCCGCGGATATGCTGTAATTTTTTTTTTTGATAGATAGTCTGTATTTAGGTTGTTTGAATTGTGCGCTGCCGATTTGGCTTCACACTAGGGTTGACACTTGTAATGTGCACTGGCATATTTCTTGCAGTTTTATTCAGTACAGTTTCCGGTGCACGCTCTGACTTTATTTTAGGGGCTCATGATGACTTGCGTGCGTTTCTACGTGTTTATGTCTGATATGAGACTACTTTGCTTGGCCGTCTTTGAGATAGGCGTGGTTTCTGCTGATAAACAGTTGGAAATTGGCGTCCGTGTTTGTCAGTTCATTTTTTCACTTTGTCCCCGTAGTCTTTGCGCCATGCCTGTTTTTTTTTTCCCCGAAGCCGTCGTTTCCGAGAGAGATTTTCATTAATTTTTTTCTTCACCTCTGTTGGGGTTGGCAAACCACTTACTTGTACCAGTTTGACCTCCCTTATTTTTCTTTTCACCTCGTTTTTTTTCTATTTTTCGCAAAGCCACTCCGGAAACCGCAACTTGAATTTTAAACTTTTCGCTATTCGCTGCCTTATATAAATATGTAAAAAATTTGATTTTGTGTAGAAATCTGTTCGAACTTACGCGAAGAAGTTCAATATGCCGGTCGAAGCTAAGGTATCGCTCGTTCAGAAAACACAAAGCGAGGAAGCGGGGAATAATTTTGTTTTACAGGTTCGTTGCCATGGAATTTTTGAAGCACCGTGATGAAAGCTTCGCGTAGACTTACTATATAATAATTATGTGACACTGGTTAATATGCATCGTAGTTTTCCAGTGCTATAGCGTTATATTGAGGAATCGAAAATTGGATTGTGCTCGTGTTGGGCCTGCTCGTTTGCTACTGTTTTCGAAGGGCTGCAAATTTCTCTTGCGACAATTTTTAAGAACTACCATAAACACAAATTATATTCAAAAGGCCCGATATTTTGGCGAGCTTTTTCTTCCCCTTCATAAAACCTCGGCTACCGGTGGACCCCATTCGTACGTTTTCAAGTTGTAACAATGAGTTATACGCTGCGCCGTTTTTTTTTTTTTTTACGCGATGCGCTAGAGGTACCTAAATGCACTTTTTTTTTCTTCACTGATGTGCACATTTGGCAACCCACATTTAGCAGCATGCACGATAAACCGAGCAAAGACAGATATGAGTGTGGAGACATAGTACAAATTTCACCATTGTGAGGGATCATACGGTCACTCTAACCAAAACATGCATTTTTTAATATTCGTGCCTTCGGGGTAGGTACATAAAACAAAACATGTCACCGCCATAGATTGCATGGAGAGCTCTACCACAGTGCTTAATATTTGCTTGTTTGAACACCCTAAAATACACGTACGCAAAACGCTGAAGCACACGTATTCATTTTGATTTCAAAAAAAAAAACACCAACTGTCGCAGCATCCGTCTTTTACGTCGACCATGTTTTCTCTTTCTGCAACACTAGGGTCATTCTCTTTGTATTATGTCTCTGGTAGTATTTTAATCTTAAATAAATTGCCTGTAAGAGTTGCCTGCGCAGCATGAAATTTAGCGGGTACGATTTCCTTGTCTGATTCAAAAGATTAAAATAGTTAACACAACAGTTTTGCTGCCTGCTACAGCTTTTAGTAAACCTGCTTACAAATAATCCGCAAGTTGACTTCGGGACGTGGGCGCGAACCTCTCTGTCATCGCGTTGACACTTTGCAAGATGACGCCAGCTGCTATGCGAAACCGATGACTTATGTTTAAGGCGCGTTTGTTTAGGAACCACGAAACGCGCCGTGGCGGAGAAGTTCTCCTGCGCCTGCTTGCGAGAGAGCATCTGTCATCGTGTGTACCCGCACAGACCAAACACTTCTGCGTAGTGAGAAGAACGCGGGACTTTCCTCACATTGTGGAGACACGCAGACTGCTTTGCGTGTCGGATGATATATGTCGCTGTCAGGCGCACTTAGACAGGTGTGAAACTCTACACGCACTCTGGCTCGACGCCATGCACAATGGTTGTGGTAACGTATGGAAGTGTTAGCCTGAACAAGGCCAGAAGAACGTTTCAAACGAGGCATGATTTCTGTCAGAAACATGGAACGAGAGAAAGTGGGAGCAGTGTTAATGTGAGCGTTGCACGAAGCGACAGGAAAAGGATAGAACTTGTACAGTTCGTTTGATCATGTGAATACTCTTAAAACAGGTGTCCTACCATGTCACTTCATGATATGCTAAACGTTGGAACCATAAGCTCTGGTATTACCTTGAAGATACGTTAATCAACACTAAACGCATAAAAACATTGTTATGCCGCATTTCTCGTTTTTTTTTCTGTTGTTTCTTATTATCCAACATAGTGATTAGTAATTGCAGTGCTCGACCAGTTGTTGATTCGAAGATCATGTGATCGAATCGCTGCTGTGGCAGCGACATTTTTACGGAGGCAAACAGCCACAGAACCACGCATTTAGGTTTAGGCGGATGCGTCAAAGAACACCAAGTAGCCGATGTTCCCGGAACCCTCCACGATGGTAAATTACCGTAATATGATCGTTTGATGACGCCGCACCCGCAAATAATGAATATGTTCTTTCATAGCAATTCCACAGATGTCACCTTAGTGGCCACTTATCTCTTGATAAACTATAGTAATGCTGTGGCTGCAAGTGCCCATACTTTTAAATGAGATTTGCTTGCTTAGTATTTTAACAAACACTACTGTAATACAAAAAATTATATCAGTTTGCTACGTTTGATGTGATCAAAAAAGTTTTATAGCGCAATTTAACGCATGCAACATGCGTTGACTCCATAGCATTCAGAAATCGCGTGGCTCATATTCATAATTTGTTTCCTACAATTGAAGCCTATAATTGCATTTAATCATGAAAAAGAATATAATTTCTTGTTGATATGTTTCTCCCCGTCGTCATTGTCGGGAAAAACGGTAGTGCGCAATGAGGTTCAAGTGAAGCATGAATTACTGTGCCAACCTTTTTAACACATAAGCATGCCGTATCAGTGAAGTATAAGGTACACGTCTACCGTGCACGTTATCGCGTGGTTCCACAACGTGAGGTCTCATTTAGCTCAGTGTGCCCTCTAGTTCCTCATGTTAACTGTCACTTGAGTACACATATTTATCATGGGGGAGAGGGTACGATAACACGAAAAAATGGTCACTATTCTTTCATGCAGTGCCTCCAGGTGATCCCGTTGTAATGGACGAAGACGGACGCAAGCTGGAAGGCCTCGTCGGCCGCTTCAGCGAAGGACGAAACCTTAGGCTTCTTTGTGAGGTGGAGGGAGGTTAGTAGAAACGATTCGAAAAAAAAAATACAAGACATCATTCTCTTTATATATCAATTTTAAATATTCCCTCGCTTTTATTCTTCACAACCTGACGTCACTTCCTTCATATCTCCTATTACCATTATTACCTTGGTTTTTAAACTGATCAACGTCATTTGGCTCCCTGGCGTTGGCTTTAAAATCAGTCCTTTTCTAAAAAACGTCCCAAAGAGTCCTTCGAAAGATGGCGCACTTGTTGTTAACGTGACAACAACAACTCTGCAGCCGGCTCTTTTCTACTGATGTTGTTTCCCTCGTTTATCTTTTTATAAGCATCACACTTGAGGAGGAAAAGCAATTGTGGAAAAGTTGTAAGAGTGATTCAGTTTGATGTCTTGTGTGTTATTTTTATCAGACACCTCATTTGTACCTTTGGGAGGTAATTCCAAATGCCGCTTAGTCCACTTTCTCCTAAGATGACAGATTTATTCAGGTTTTATAAAGCGGTACCGACTCAAAGCTTCATGGCTGAGATAGCCAGCGGAATCGATTGTCGCACACATACGGATATCATCTTCCATTTACCTGTAGACTGACCTGAAGATTCCACACATGTGTTGAAGCTTCGGTGATGACGACAACGACGACGATGATGAAATCGAGTTCCAGATGCCACATGCGAAAGAACAGGAGCAGATGGCGCAAGCAAGACCGAGTGCATCACAATTCTGTGCCCCTTTCACACGCCAGATGGCATTAGTGGCATATCACGGCTTGTCGTCCCAAACTGACACTAGGACTGGTCGGTAATAAACATACTGCAGTTTTCTGCCACGAGCTGCAGCAAGCGATGTGTTGTTATACGACGTTTAGAAATCCATCAATATAATGCGGCAAAAAGTACCACACTTAAATGTTTGTGCCAGTATACATTTAATTATTGGCTTTTTCTTCGCGATTATTTAGGTTTAATCCACAAGTTTCTCTCGGCGATGTCACTCTAAGATTAACTTTCAACATGTCACCAGTTCATCAAGGACGGTCACTTGAATTTGTTGATTAACAAATACACAAAAGAAAGACTGTAATAATAAGAAACAGACGCAGTAGACAATGTACTCGCAAATTTATCGTTACTGAGAAACAAGTAAATGCTACTGTACCAGGTGACTGAAACCCACGAGTTTTTTTTTTTCTTCCCATCTCTACATTACAGTACAGCAGCGGCGCACTTAAGATGCATATTCGCAAATGCCTCATTCAACCAAAAAAAAAATAATTCGCATGCGATATTTTTATATCTTGTAGTTTTATACACACGAACGCAATTACCATTGTACATATCACAGGAAAGCCTCGTCCTGTTGTCACCTGGTGGCGTGACAAGCGGCTGGTGGACTCGAACTTCAGCTTTGTAGGAGACGGCACTGTCGCTCGCAATTGGCTTGAGATCGGCGAACTCAAGCGCTCGGACTTTCTCAGCGTGCTCACCTGTCAGGCGGCGAACAACAACGTTACTGTGGCAGTGTCAAGAACGATAACCTTGGATATGAACTGTGAGTATCGCATACCATCCATATTCTCACTTCTTCAGTCACTGGAATGCATTAGGATATCTTAATATATATTTGTGTTTGTCAGTTGATGGAAAAAGTGGCTAATTGGTAAAGAGAGATACCTACGGGCAGTGGCGCTAATTACTCATAATCCTGAATGCAGCCTGCGTATGAGCTCTGAGCGTAAACTAACATCTTTAACACGCAGTTATGCTCAATAAGTAAACAACATATTGAAAGAGAACAATAATATCTAGATGGAAGTAGAAATGCAAGCTGGAGAGAGATTAGACATGAAAACGTGACTAATCCCTGTTTTTTCAGCAATCTGTATAACATGAAAGTGAAACTTGTCTTCACAGAGGTAGTTTAATGTTTATCGTGCACAGTTTTGTCACAAAGGCAAATGAATAAAAGCTACAGCAACAAATTTCATAGTCAAGCGAAGAACAGCAAGCAGCTCAAAACTTGGAGCGTGCACCTCTTGCAGGAAGAACGCACGAAATGAGCATACACAGAACGAACGCGGACACACAACTGTCCCAGCTCGACTTTTGAAGCGCGTGTTTCAAGCAGAAAGAAAGACGCACAAAACGAACACACATGTATACACAGGACAAGCACGGAAAGTCAGAATTCTTACTTTATGTCAGCTGCGTGTTCTTTTTGTAAACGCGGCCGTGGCAGTGAGTGAGGTGACCTTCATGCTCTCCATAATCGTGAGTCCGATAAGCATGCGCGCAGGAGAGACCCGGCGCTCATCGAAACGTGAGATTCGTGGAGGAAGGGAGACGACGGCCTTATGAGCCTGCCAAACACACGTCGAGGACATCACGCCATTTCACCATTGCTCACGAAAACGTGCTGAAGTTGTGAAGCTGTGAGTGCCGCCGAACGGTATATGGTGTATACGAATTGCTTGCCGTTGGCAGTCTGAGCAGTGCTTGACGGTGGCCTAGTGGTGTTAGCCACGCCACGCTCTGCAATTCGAGAGGTTGGTGGTGCGGTGCCCGGTGACAGAAAACTTCCGTCTTGTTTTTTTTTTTTTTTCTTAGCAATGCAGTAGCATACATTTCACAACGTCATATCCATGACAGAAATACGTCAGCGGAGCCGTAGTGTACCCTAGCATGAAACGCTGTCGTGTTAAAAAACTTGCAAACTCCGTGATTCTCCCAGTCATGAGCTAGATCTGTGTTTGTAGCAAACCAGCTACAATCTTTCCCCTTTTTTTTTTCTTGCCTTATTTCTCACCGTTGATACAAGCAAGCTACCAGGCTGAATGAGATGCACAAGAGACGGTGGGATTGGGCGTGTTGGTATGAATGAGATGTGCTTGGAGCACTGAAGAAAGGGACCACTAATGATTTTTCGCTTTTGGAGGAATTGCGGAGAGAAGGCTCGTGAGATAGAATTTTACTGTTAACGAAATAAAAAATGAAGATTACACTTGTGAATGGAAGCGTGCAAAATCAGCGTCCATAACTGCGCACAGGCCAAGGAAGTTAGTTTAAGTTTTCTTTCATTAATTAAGTAGCTCTATTCTTGTTTTAAGCGCACATGCGCATTAGACTATTATTTTCCCACGCTTTGACACTGTTAACAATAATAAAATCTGATTATTCCGCTGAAACAAACCTCACGAAAAGGTTTGGCGAGCAGTGCAATATGAGCGATGAAATTCATAAAAGCAGTGCGTGACATCTTTATTTCACACAGCCTTCGTTAACTTTCCTAACTTAGTCCGGAGCTTCGCACAGTTGGTAGTGAAGTTATCTAACCAGAGGCACCAATACAAAGTACTTCTCATAAAGTGCTCTACTACGCTTATATATACAATATGACGTGAGCTAGTTATGCGTATAATCGAACTTTATAAGTGCGGCGTACTTAGGAACACATGATCTCATCGTTAACCTCAATTGTATCGCTGTTTAGCAAGTGCATGCTCCTCTAGCTTGTCGAAGCGCGCGCTTTCACGCCAGATAGCTGCGAACCCATTTACCAGGGGTGCAGTTATAGCTCTCAACCACCGAAGCTTTTGGATGAGCAGCTCGCCGTTTTCCCGCCGTGTTCTTCCGTGTCAGAGCTTTCCGGGAAAACCGGCGATAGGTACGCGAAGGGATCGGGCTGGAAATGCGCCGGACCACTCCGTCATAATGCGAATTGCGGAGCACCTGCCGAAGAGCCAGTTTTCAATTAACGCGTTATTGCGGGCTAGGACCCCTGCCGTCTATCCCTTCTCACTCATCGTCCCGCGATAATGGTGGCAGCAGTTGTACGAAGCCTGTCGCTTATTTGCCATCCTCGGTTCCTCCTTCCCGTTCACCAATGCGTACTCTATCGCTGCGAGGGCGTTCCTTTGGGAAAAAGCGTGCAGTGACCAATGCCGCGCAGTCACTTTTCATTTTATCTTGGTAGGAAGCGCAGCAACTATTACACAGATCACACAACACAAGCGCTTGTGTTGTGTGTTCACTTCTTTCACTTCTGACATTTCGCTTTTGACATTGACAAAAGTCCTTTTCTTTCTCTTGCCCGCCATGGTGCCTGAATGGAAAAAGCTAGGTGCGAACGTACTATGCTAGACGGAAGCGGAATGCGGCGTAACGACCAATATTAACAAGAAATAGCTTGATACTTGAAATTAGTTTGTGGTTACAGCGGTTCCCGTAGGCCTTAAAGGATTACTGCGTTCGTTTGCCAGCGCTCGTTAAATTAATGGCTGCCTTTAACGAGTCAGCTTTACGGTGTTCCTCCAACCCTCAACTCATAGCGCTGTGACTTCGCACATTAGCTTTCACTTCTTGGTTCTGAAGGCCGAGCTCAATCCGTCTCTCTTTTTGTCTTACTCATTCTGATTTATGCTACTGCAAAGCACTTCAAATCAGTTTAAATGAACTTCGTTCAACGAAATTATGAAAATTTCATAATGATTGTGAATTCAAATTTCAACAGTTTCGAACGGAGCATTTGCTTTTGGTGGTGATATGTAGGTTTCAATGACTCAAGGACCGTGCACATTCTTTTGATTGAATGGTTACTCAGAGCAATGCACACAGCTAAGCCTGACCCCACATTGTGCATCGACCGGCAAAAATGAAGAAATACCCAAGTGAGTGTTTCTCAATGCCTCAAATTTGGAGAAAGACGCGTCCGCTTTATGCATAACGGTATTAATGTAGCCATACTGCACTAAGGGGGTGAGGTCTCCCTCAAGTCGCCTATGTGCGGTTTTTTCCCTCACCCACCTCCACTTACCACATGTGTGTAAATAGAAAACAATAAATCAAATCAAATCAAAGTCATCACTAATAACTGAGAATTACAGCGTGGGCAACGTGATGAGGCACTCAAGCTTTAGGTTAAAATGTAATATTTAGCGCAATACTTTTTCTTCCTAATTCATAATAGTTAAGTTGCACAGAAAACTTGCAGGTTTTGAGACTCTCTCATCAACAGTAACTATATGAGGAAATCTCGTTACAGGTCAGCTAAAACAAAGCACTTCCGTTTGCCTTTTTTTGAAAAAAAAACAAATACAAGCTGCTACTTTCCGCATGATCTTCCAATGTAGCTGATTTTTAGTCGCGCTTCCTGTTCAGATGCTCTTTTGGAAGCACTTTTTCATCTCTGAAAGTTTCACACTCTCATTTATTTATGTCTAATTACAGGGAACTTGATACGGTTATCCTAGGTACATTTTCGTTGCAGAGGCACATAGATAAACCACAATCACAGCAGTTATGTTTTGAGGCTTCAACATCAAAAGAAAAATAGTGAAGGTACTTCAAACATCAGAGGAGAACCCGAAATAAAAAGCCGGGTTATTTAACAAGAATACGACGCAATAAAGAAAGAGGAAATGTATTAAAGTAGAAATAAGACATCAAAAATAATATTCATAGCCCATGCACTCACATACAGAAGCTTATGCCCAACAAAGCACTGGTTATTCACTGTTCCCAATAACAGCCGCGTAAACTTGGGCGTCTTAAAGAAAGCAGAAGCGCTTATATGGCTCTGTACATCTCGAGCATGAAATTCTACACAGTGCCCGTTGATTACACATGCAGTGATACCACTGGACGTGGCCATCCAGCCTCCTCGCCATCCGCTGTCTGCGAGTCATCCGGTCGAGCTGGTCTGCTCATCCACTGGCTCGCGTCCTCCAGCACTGCTTACGTGGTGGAAGGGAGACGAGCAGCTACTCTCGGCTAAGGAGCATCAGGGCGGCAACAACCACGAAGGAACCAGCTCGAGCGTTCTACTCTTCACTCCCAGGAGAGAAGACAACGGCGCAGTGCTTTCGTGCAGGGCCGAGAACCAGTTTATCCAAGGCAGTGCCATCGAAGAAGGATGGAAGCTAGACGTGTTCTGTGAGTCTACATATTTGTACGAGATGGCTCAGTATGTAGAGGCTTGTAAAAGCTTAGCCTGTTGCATTAATAAAAACATTCAGTCCGCTCGAAAGCTATCGGGTGTATGGCCTCAGAAAACAATTGGTACGTACCAAATCAGACGTATGCTTTCTTTCTCTTTTAGGATTCAGTTAGTCGATGGTGAAGTGCAAGTGTGTGCATTGCCGTTAGAGCTAGCAGCTTCTTAGAAATTGCTTAATTAGTGCAAAAGTTCACCAAATGGTAATCAATTTACCGTGATTCCCTGACTTCTCGTTGAAGTACTGAAACTACTTTCCGACCGTCTGAACGTCTCTGGAGCCAAAACTTCCTGAAAGGAAGTTGTCTTTAGAAGGGTATATAGTGTTTTGGAAAAGTTGTCTACCTTTGCGTAATACACAACAATGAAACTGAATACACAAGGGCTCATACGCAACAAGAAAAATCTTTGTCTTTCTTCTTAAATAAAAACTAAGAGTAACTTTGTTTAAGTGCCGCCTTCAGGAACATCTTTTATTTGACAAAGCTTTATCAATTCTTGTGTTTCGTGTGCATTGTCCTTTCGGAGTCTGTGTTTTGTGTGCGTTGTTACGTAAAAGACCGACTAGCGAAAGCAGTTTTTTGTCTGTAAAACTTGCATGAAGTCAAACCTGTTGTGTGAACAGTTGCCCAAGTCACTGCAAGTACATTCAGGCATTTAATTTTGGCAGTAATGCGACCTACGAAGGCTCTTATCTTCTGGGTTACTCGAGGTGGACACAAAAGTAATCTCTGTTTTTTCTTCACGCTGGACAAACACAACTTTAAGTTAACGCTAAAAAAGAACAAATTGAAAACAAAGCATTAGCAGCTTAGCACGAGTTAACAGGAACCTACATTTGCAACAGGTGACGGCGTATAAGATCTCCAAAGCCCTGTGGTGTACACGTGCGCATTATAGCGTCTTCAGCTGTATACATTAGGACAAATCTAGGAGTTGTGCGGCCTGCAGAAACATTGAAGTACCTAGCTGGGCATTTACTTATACGGCCTATGCCTATACGGCCTATATCGGTCTAAGGTGGCCTGTATTAGGCCACCTTAAACCGATTTACCTCTCGCCAATCTTTCATGTAAGCTATATATGCTTAGAGTCACCTCTATCTCTTGGACTCCGATTTCTTCCTTAGCTCAAGTCATTAACATCACCTTGCTGATGGAAGTATTTCTATGGTAATCGAAGAATCCCGGCGGTTTTCATCCGACTGGGAGAGAACATCGCAAGTATAGCGTTGTTCCTTTAGCACTTTTGCAATTACCTTTTCACAAGAAAACGTTACGCCGGTAAGGAGCGCGACAGATATTATCACGGTGCACTTCGCTGCTACTTCCGCGAAAGAAGAAAGCGATTGGCGCTAGATTCTAACATACGCTTTTGAATCATCGATCCGTTTGCTTTAGGCTCTTCAGTACTTCTTGAATGCTTTGAGCATGGCGTGCCGTGGGTCTTGTTTGCACCTCCAACTGCTAATCTGCATACTTCTCAGCTGCGGAACTTTGGTGGGAGCTAGCACGTTAGCTAAGGTCAACTTTTCTAACTGGTTGCTATGTGATTGCTAAATAATGGAAATACTGAGTATGCATCAAATTCTCACCGTTAATGCAAGCTTTATTTTTTTCTAGTTATTGGAAACATAAGTATGTACGGCTTATTAAAACTTCATACTGAAGCAATACTTTGGAATTCTTCAGAATAGACTGAGCACTTTACACTCAGAAATCGCTTGTCAGCCACTAAATAACTATGTATAACAACTTGCATGCAGCTGTGCTATAACATTCAGGCGAAATGCTTTAACGTCTCGTGCTCACGTTCATCTATGCAATCGTTTGTGCCCTGGCACTGTGCCAGGTATAGTGGTGCAGGCGGGTCAACGGACACTGGTCACGTCGGCTGCACCTTGCGTCGCAATATACAGCGAGTTTTGTACGAACCGAGTGACTGAGGACACAAAGCCAACCACTTCAGTAAAGAAAACTTCGTCGTGAGAATACAATGTTCTGAGTATACTTTTAACGAGATTTGGACGCTTTTTATCATGCAGACAAACCTCTGGCATCACTTCGCTTAGGTCAGAATCTGCGGGAAGATGACATCCGCGAAGGTCGTGACGTGTACCTTGACTGTGACGTGGACGCCAACCCTCCGGCTAATGAAGTGACGTGGCTCTTCGAGGGGCAGGAAGTCACCACGAACACCAGCGCTGGTGTCATCGTCAGCAGTCGGTCACTGGTGATGCAGAAGGTGCACCGGTCGCGCCGTGGGCGGTACAAGTGCATTGCTATGAACCGTGAAGGCCATGGCACCAGTAACGTCTTCATGCTACGCATAAAGTGTGAGTCACTCTAATAAATGTGTCTATTTCACGTTAGTATAAAAGCACTTTGTTAACTATGCACATTTCATTACAAAACACCAGTAGCACAATTGCCATCCACCGCATTTCGGCGTACTCATTTAAAGGTCTGATTAAATTAGAATTGCTAAGGCTTCATTGCAATGTCCCTGGTAGCTCTTCTCAAGAAGGGGGATGAGCGTTTCTCGTTAGCAAAAGGTCAAGCAGAAATCCAGATTACGTAATAAAGAATATGCCCAGTGGCTGTGAAATCGTCACTTTCTGCTGGACCAACAACTTTGCAAGTGATGGGGGGTCCGCTTCTTGCAAGCACGCTTGCTACAAAGGCCTGAAGCTGTCTTTCGCAGGGTGCTTCAATACACACACTGATTTATTAAGTCAGCGGCAGGTTTAACAGACATGCACAAGCTTGGCTTGCTTCGTCACCAACTCATCGGTGTCGTGAGGCGGTTAGTGCGGTTTGACAATGCTGCTCAGATATGAATCGTGCTTCAGCGACAAGGCCAAGTGCTGTCGCTCTGCGTTTTTTACTAAAGAAATAAAAATTTTTTATATGTAAACTGCTTTATTCACAAAATCATTTGAGCTTGAAGTTGGGCGTAGTGGCATAAATTATGCGCACTGTAAGAGACGAGTTTCTACTCCACTTTTAAAACGACAAGCTTAAGTATTCCTATAAAAGAGCACCATAACATCACTTACATTTTTTTCTGTTATATTTATGACCGTAAAACAACAAGCGAGTGATGCTATCTTTTCGCTTTGCTCGCATAGAGCTATCATTAAATGTGCTCTCAACAAGATTTGTCACGATAAATATGAATAAATTATTTGCTACTGCAGCAAATGAGTCACTGCACTGCGTGAGCCTAAGCAGTCTACCGGCCAATATTTGAGTAGAGAGACGTAGGTTTACCACTTGCCACGGGTGAGGGGAAGCAGGAAAGAGGCTTGTGACTGTTTGCAACGGACAGCTTGCAATAATCAAGTACACGTGGAATGTCCAAGCCGATTCAACTGTGCATTGACTACACAAAATGGGCACTGCGAGTGCAGCCATTAAATATGGCTGGATGTTCAAGGTGTTAAATCATTGTGAGGGGAGACGGTGGCAATCCTTATCGGGGGCATAGTTTCCTGAATATACTGAGTCAAGTTTGCACGTGGGTTCCTCTCCAAGAGCAATGAATTTATTGCTGTGATGTCGGCTTTTGCAGCAACTGCATTGAACAATTCTAAGCTATAAGCTTACAGCCTCTAAGAAAATGGTACTATATTTAGTAGGATTTTGCTTAAGAACTGGCAAACAATGAGTGGTGAATTTAATAGGGACGTAAACAGTGTAATGTTGTCAATTAGGATTTTTTTGTTGTGTTTAGTTTATCAAGCTGGGAAATAACGAAATTACTTGAGTTTAAACCGGACATATGATATTTCTTCGTAGTTTTGTTATTTCGGGAACCGTTTAACGTGGCTGATACGGCGAAAAAATCTTTTCTAAAACCTCAATGTTCCTCATTCCTGCTTTAAGTACAACCACTATCAGCGTCATAAAATCAATATCACTTTGCTTTATTTGCTTGATTAATAGAGGTAAGAAAGGTTAAACAGAAGGAGGGGTAAAAGCACAACAAAGGAAAAGACAAAAAAAGCAGAATAGAAACATTAGGTAAATATAACCGTAGTATACAATCTTATCTTTTGCATTGTTTAATTGCTCACAAATTAATGTCAACAAGGTAAGCGGGAAGGTTATCCAAGTCCCATAAGGCATGTGTCAATAATTATTGATCAAAGCACGCTCTATTGATTGAAACAAACGCGATGTTGTGATGATAGCTTTTGCAATAAAGTACATACTATGGCTAAAGGATGAGGCAATCCAGAAGAGGAGGAAGATTGTACTTGTTGCGAAAGGAAGCAACACGCTACACTTTTCTGCGTGATGACAACCATAAAATTGCTGTGAAAAAAAAACGCATTCCTCAATAACGTGTTGAGACAGTAGTTCTGGAGCAAATTGAAGGCCCAATTCCTGAAGAAATGTTTACGAGTGTACACACAGCTACCGGAACGAAGATACGCTGCAAATTATGCGACGCGGTCATAGACGTTTTTTGGGTGTCTCAAGTGAGAGAAATCAGACTAATTCACGTTATCTTGTCCCGCAGACGCCCCCGTGTGCAGGCAGGACCAAAAGCACATATACGGCGTGTCGCGTCACGAGTCCGTGTCCGTGCGCTGCGAGTTGGAGGCTGATCCGGCGGACGTGACCTTCCACTGGCGCTTCAACAGCTCCTCGAGTGGCAAGCGCCTAGAACTGGCCAGTTACAGCCACGCCCTGACACGCAGCACGGCGCTCTACTCACCGCTGAACGAAGACGACTTTGGCTTCTTGCTCTGCTGGGGCGATAACGAAATCGGCAAGCAGCAGATACCCTGCAACTTCACCATCGTTCCAGCCGGTGAGTGAGCACCGTTCGTGGCGCGAGCTCATCAATTCCAATGCAGTGCAATGCGGCTTTGCTTAAAGAAGAATGTTGATGCATATGCTTGTCACACTGTACTCGAAACTGTTTTCATAGACTACTTTGAGACACCGTTTTATTTTGATTTCATTGTTCGTATATAAGCGACAACCTTGGTTTTATGTCAAACTCTCATCACCATCGTTCACGGTGGGGACAGACTAGAATGCATTTATTTTGTCGGCAGGCTCCTATTAAGCGTTGTGTGATATCTAACGCCATACAAATGCTGCCAGAACTCGTGCTTTAATATTTTTCACTCATAGGCTATTAGAATGCACATTGTTTGCGCACATCATGCTCTACTGTATGACATATTTTGAGCCTCATATATTTTTTAGCCCCGCATACTTCGTTTGACAAGCTAGCAGGTAGAGCTGTAGCCTCCACAAAACGACCAACCTCTACTAATCAGAATTTCAATAAAAATATATACAGTGCAAATACATGACCCTTTATTTCCAGTTCTATGTAGAACCTTCTTTCTTTGTCACCAACTAACGCGTCTTTTGTACTAAAAATAAATAAGAGCATCCCTATTTACAAAGAGACACTCCCTGTACCACAGCTAAGTGATTGGTGCCACATAAGTGCTGCCAAGCTAAGCGTACGCTGGGACTGGTAATTAAGAATGAAGTGCTATCTATTATTATCCCTTATCGTCATGGCTTCTTTCACTTTCTGTTTGATCAATAAAATTCAGAAATGAATGTGCACTGACATTACTCATTTCTGTAATATATTTAGGCATGGCCTAATTCTCTATCGGGCATCGTGTATATTCTTAATCAACAAGTGTCATTGCTCAACACACTCCCATGCTCGTTAAGTATTATCAATGCCCTTATTCAGACTTCTTTCAACTTCGCTGCACCCACAACAACGCAGCCCCTCCGGAGCAGGTGAACAACTGCAGCCAGATCAATGGCACCGAAGACTCGGTGTCCTTCGAATGCTCCGAAGGTTTCTGGGATGGCGGCGTGGCGCCCGTTACGTTCGTGGCTGAACTGCGCGAGGCCGACACCGACCGGCTCGTGGCGAACGCCTCTTCCATGTCTGGACCGGCATTCAGCTTCAGCGGCCTCGAAGGAGGCGCTACCTTTCGAGTGTTCCTTTACTCGGCCAACCCCAAGGGACACCGGTCGCCCGTAGACTTCATCGTCAGCACACTGCGGCCAGCTGAGAAGCTAACTGGTGAGTGCAGTGTTTCTGCGTGCACGCCAATTCAATACTAGCCTGCCAACACCCGTAGCTATACCAGCCTACCTTGTATAGACGTTCCAGTAATGCTGTACTAATCGGGCAATCATTAACCTGCCCTTTTGTAGCTAAAGTTCTTATGGTGTAAGTGTAAGACCTGTCTATGGAAAAAACACGTAATAGTGTCTACATTTCCTTATCTAAGCGTACTCTAAAGCGGGTCTTGCGGTTGTGTTTGGTGACATGGATTTGAAGAATTGAAAACCTGGTCACGTCGGCCACTTATATTGTGGAGACGAGAACGCTTGAGACCAGTGTACTAAAACGTAGGGTCACGTTAAAACCCCAAAAATTTAAATTTTCTCAGCCTGTTATTGCGATGTCTTTCATAGTAATATTGTGGTTTGCGTACTCTATACCCTAAAAACGTTTGTAATTTCCTTATTGTGTTAAAACACGTCTTATATATGTGTTGTTTTTAGATGTTTCTATAGTAAGCAAAATAGTGTAATTTCAACCGCATGCGGAGTATTCCAATGAACTGAAAGACGACTGTGTGTACGCCTCGTTAGGTGGTACTGTTGCTAAACAAACGTAGAGAAGTTCCACTGCCAGGAAACCTAAAGTTGTGCGTATTGCGGGTACCCAGCGATTCAACTTCATAAAGCTCTCACTGCTCCGTTTCCGAAGCAACGATGGCGTCGATTGGAGCTAGGAATGTAGGGTTCACCCGCCACGACAGAATAGTACAAGGCACATTCGCGAGCTTGGTCTGCGTGATAAACGGTACTTTTTGCTCTTTTCTAACGACTTCCCTTTGGTCACGACTGTAAAGATACGTGTTGTCGGTACCGAGTTTTGTCACGTTGTTTCCAACGTCAATTGTAGCGTCAAGTTGTTTCCCCCATCAGATATGTAGAAACGTATGATGGGCATTCGTTCGCTTGGCGAGGCGGTGGGGCCCTCTATTCCAGCGCAGAGTCCTCAGACTCTTATCATACATGTCTCCAGACATGTTATCAGACATGTTATCTTCATACATGAGTCTTCAGACAAGTTATCAAATATTTGTTATCATGTTGAGTTAGTGCTATTAGTTTATTTTTATGGTATTTGTTACTTATCATATTTTTGGCCTTTTTCGTTTACTTTACCGCACCTTGAGCTTTGCTAGTATATATTTTATAGTCTTCTGAACGCTTTACTGTGAGCGTGGTCGCGGCACGCGAGATGCATCGATGGACGAGAAGCCGGGCGCTTAAAGCAAGCATTTATGGCGGCACTGACAGGATAACTCGGCTATGGAGCGCTTTGTTCCTGAATGTACACTTTAAAGAACTTAGTTCGAGGCTTTAAAACATCGCCAAGTTGGGAAAGAGCATATGTTATACGAAAATTTTGCTGATTTCTCCTGTCAACCATAAATAAAAGATACTGATGAAGTTATCGCCACTGAAAGGAAATCAATATACATGCCGTTGGTCCTGACACTCTATGCTTTTTGAAATTTAGCAACTTATGCGTACTATGCGATACATCGTACGCATTTTCGTATAATAGCTTCATACGCGTTCTCAGAAACTCTTATAACGAAGTTCCATAAAATATCTTGCACCCCTATTTGGTTACGGAAGCGCGTATAAAATCTGTCTGTAACTCAATATATTCATTTAATGCACGTAAATTTAAACTCCTAATAGCAGCTTCTTTTTTCTTTGCTTCACTTTAAAATGAACTCCAGCATTACAATTGCGGAGAATGTTATTTTAGTCTCCGTCATTTGCATAATGCACACGCATTAAATAGGCAACAGCTTAAAACACACCTGCTGTTGAAGCGGTCGTTCTATTGTTCCCTCGTGATGGCTTCTGATATTTAAAAAAAATGTACACGCTAGATTTGTAGGCCAAACAGACCGTTTTCTGCATTTCCTCCTGCTGATTGCCAGTGGTATGGGGACGGCCAAACGCAAACGATCTCAATAAAAATGTCCACAGAACAAAAGAAGCTCGGAAGACAGCAGAATGCCGGCGTAAAACGAGCAGCCACTATGCGCTTGCTACATGCATAGACCACTGAATTGACCTGTCTACGAGGCGATCGTTGACACCCCGTGAGCCGCACACCGTTTTCTTTTGAAGAAAAAAAAGGGGGGCTTACTCTGCGTGGGTCGCTGCCGCTGTCCCAGCCAAATCCATCGCAGCGATTCCAAGTGGCGTTGAAAAATGTCACCGTTACAGTCCGCCACTTCACTTTCCTTCTTGCTTAACTTTTTTTTTGCATTCCCGCGCTAATAATCTTTTTTATGAAATCGAAGAAAGTGGGTAAAAACCAAATTGAAGTTAGAGAACGTGTTTTATGCAGTTTCATAGCTTCCTTTTAATCGCGTCTTGCCTTTCTTGCATCCTTTTAATCTCTTTCATGTCCGCGCATGACCATCTGTACCTAACTGTATGCTATAAAATAGTTTCTCGGTACAATAGAAACTAAAGTGCACTGCAATACACATAAAATACAAGAAAGGAATACAACGGATCAACGGAATGTACAGACGGCCAGAGCTATAGCTATTGGGCGAAGTGGGCACTTTTTCGCCTTTCAGCGCCATATTATGAAATGGAGTTACAAACAAATTGCTTCGTAGACATGTGCTTTGTGGGCAGACACTTGTTCCCAAAATTTTTTTAACTAAATTCAGTCGTCTGGCAAAGATACACAGAACAAAACTGCCACAAATGCGTGATGGCTAAAGATGTGGCTGACTGTACATCTCAGCAGTCTAGTATGTTTTCGGATTGCCTTAATAATGTTAAACAATTAGGCAGCAGGTACACGACCTTCCTATTACCTAGGTGCCCCTTCTAGAGCACCACAAACTGCGTCCTGCTTTATTCAACTGTTTCAAAAGAGCGGGAAAAAGAATGTACATTGTGAATATTGACGTGAATTACTTAGCGCAAGAAAAGGAAGAAAAAAAAACTCAGCACACGAGAGATGCACACAAGGCACAAACGCTTGTCTGTTGTGTCTTTCCAGTACGTTTCGTTTTTTTGTTGGTAAGAAATTTTTGTTGGTACGCAGAAACTCGATCTTCGAAAACTCCTTTTAGGTTAATTTGCGCAATAAGTTATCTACCATCAAAAGCTCCCTTCTTTTCTTTCAGCCTGTCGTAACGGGTAGTGAAAAGAGAAACAGGACACCACGAAACGGGGACATGTGTCGATAAATCCGTGCCACTAAAGTCGAAAAGGGAGCTCATTTCCATGTTTTCGAGCCAATACAATTTTGCCACTTGGTAATCACGCACGGCGTGGCACCGCGTCGTCCCAGTGGGCGAGAGCAGCTGTAGCAGATGTGCTTCCATCCATAGCTCGCCTTCGCAGCCGGCGTTACCAAAAAAGCACGCGCGTTAGCAAGCCCATCTGGCTTGACGCTCCGCTTCTCGTTATTTGCGAAGTGTCGCGCGCTGATGGCAGCGTTTCCCTTCGGCGCCTTACTACAGTGACTATTTTACTCTGCTGTTGATGTCGTCTTTACTTTTTCTTAGCACTCGATGCACCCGACATTGTTTATGCACGGTAAATCCAGCCTAATGACTGATTTGTGATGCAGCGACGCCGTCGTGCGCAAGCCGCAGCGTGGACGCTTTCTGCGATGAAGCCCGCTGGAAAACACAAAACTGATTCGCTTTAGCGCCGGATGTTGGAACTTCGCCTACTGGAGCGCCTGAAGGCCATGTTCCCATTTGGCTCGCGCACCACCAATATTTTTCTAACTTGCCATTGTGATAGTGATAAGGGTAGATCACACCATTATCCTTTGTTTGTTACCTTTTATTTCTATAGCCTTAGACTTCAACTCTTTTAAGCGCGAAGCAGCTCTTTGACTAGCCTGCGTAACGCTGTCCGTCTGTGTCTCCATGCCAACGCCCCGCACCCCCCTTCCCTAACCACAGGTGTTGGGGCGGTACCAAGTAGGTCACGCCATCCCTCGCAGTGCACGGTGACGCCACTCTCTCTCTCTCTCGCCTGCCACGTGCTCTGTGTGTGTCACCTCTCTCTCGCTTCATCCTTTCCACCGCTCACCACGTTCGAGCGCACATCGAGTGAAAGTCCTTTCGACTCGTTTATCTGCGATGGAGAGGACACCGGAAAGCCAAGCTCCTTCGCCCGCCTAAACATGCGCTGAAGCAATTTAATGACACCGACGAGGCTCGATTAAAAAATGCCGATCGCGTCCGTGCGCAACGCCGCTGCCTCGCATCTTTCAGGGTTCCCTTTGGGAAGATAACTTTTTTCGCTTGGTGAATGAATGCTAGAGTTTGTTGACAAGTGTAAGTTCTCGAGCACTTACGGATAACTAGTTTATGTCATGCTACAAGCTTCCTATCGCTTTTGTCTTGCAATGGCTCGTTTTCTGGTCTCATCATGCAGCATGACAAACATTTCGCCGTCTCCGCGTGACAAGTCCATGTTCAAGAAACCCTTCCTGTTTATAAAAACGAATACAGGACTCTGCATCTGTACCAAGCGTGAAGACTCATGACCCCTATGACCTCTAACCACGCTAACTGCACTGGTACGATCTCCAACTATACACGCTAGGTATTTTGCTTGGCTGACAACACTAATGGGTGCAATGAACTCTCTAAAAAAAGCAAAAGTTAAGTGCATATTAAAGAGCAAATTTTGTAATTTTCTTCTCACAATTGATCTCGATGAGATTTACAGTACAAATTCTGATAGCTGCTCTTATAATGCGCTCTGAAAGATACGGTGGGAACTCAGTTTTTTTTAATTATAAATACTAAAGATTAGTTGTGCGTCTACCGACACGTTCCGAGTAGCTGCCCCAGCTCGCCTTCTTCAGGTGACACAGTACAGTTATCTTTTATGGAGCTAGTAATTTTGGTAACCTGGCAGCTTGGTGGCCTTTACTTCTAGAATATGGTTCTGGATTTTTAACACTTTCGAAGAATTTCTAGGCAACGCAACTATTTAACCACTGCATTTGCGGGCGTCTTATGCTCGTATTCTACCAGTTATCCACGTAGCGAGCATGAAATTATACAAATACAGAAATGACCGTATTTCAGCAAAGTGGACGAGATGTGCAGACATAATTCATTTTGCAACTGCTTTATCACTTTTTGTCGACAGCACTTGTCTCTGTTTTGTTGCAGCTGGAAGCCGTGGTATGATCACCGCTTGGCCAATAATAGGAGCGCTTCTCGGCCTCATTGTCACACTGCTCATCGCAGCGGTGGTGATTGTGGTATATGTCAAGTACAAATACCTGAAGAGGAAGCGAGGTGTGTTTGGACATCTTTCAACATTGTCTTCATATATAACGAAAACAAATATTAGAATGAGCAAACACACTGTCCAAGAACGTGTGCATCCACGACAAAAATACTCCCAAAGGTGACGAAAAGCACTTTGCAAGCTTGTTTGTGTTCGCATCACACGTTTAGTTCCCAACCGCCAGTAAAAAACACACAAAAAACAAACAGTTTGTGTGCTCTTGTTAATAAAATAGCGTGAAAGAGCTCGTTTCGCGAAAATTCCGGCGTTGGTGTCAGCGTCATTGGCTGTGAGCGAGAAATCATCTTGCACGTGACCGAAGTATTGAGATAGTTGCGTATAAAATATAATAAAAAGTTCTTCGTCTGATTAGAGATATATTGCGGCTCCTTTGCGACAAAAGTGGGTGATGTACTACACAGTCATTTGGCTGCTTGTCAATAGAGTGAAAAATAACTTCGTCTGCTTGGAAATGCAGCAAAAATAACTTTCATGCTTTACAAAAGCGGGCGTCTTGTATACATGCTTCACAAAACAACATGAAGTATTGCAGCAATAATTAATGCGTGAAACAAGCCTACATTGCCATCGGGCTTCAGATTATGTGTATTTGCGGCTTCATGATTTAGAGCCAGTCACCCACTGCAAAAGGCGCATATGTTACTACGTAGGTGCAAAGGAAGTGAATGAGGGAGTGAAACAACTTTATTGGGTCCACAATACACGTGAGTTGACTCAGCATCACCTGGCGGGGCCCACTCGGAAATGGTCAGGTTAAACTCGACCACCCTCGCGCGGGCCCTCTGGACGGATAGGTTTTGAGAGGCGAGGTCCTGAGCCTTAAGGGCTCACGCACTAAGTGTTTGAAGCACTAGGGACGAAATATCGCTGTTGCATTCAGCTTTTAAAGGTGAAGCTTAAGAATGCCCCAATTTTTAGTGCTGTAAGAGTTCTCAAACATTACAATAATTCACATGCAGAAACCAACTAAACGTCGTTCAACGCATGAATCAGAATTCATCGAAAGCCCCGTTTTAATAAATATTGTCACTCGGATAAAGAAGCCACAAAATGTATAGGTGGTGCTATTTGTAGTTAGTAATAGATATAAAAAAGAGGAAATTACTCTATTGATTGACGAAAGGTCGGGTTGCCTCGGTAAACGCAGGTATAAAGCAATACGTAGTAAAACAAAAGAATGCTCTTGTTATTGGAAAACTAAGAACACAACGGAACATCTGTCAGTTCAACGGAAAGGTATCTACCTGATTTGCACGTTTGAGCACTAGCAAACACGAAGCCATTGATTTTGAAATAGGTACTACAGTGCTAAACAGGACTGCGACTTAAATAAGTAAACCACGACTGCAGGATTGGCAGACGAAGGTAAAAATAAAGAGCAAAAACTAATAAGGTCAAAATACTGTTAATTTGCTATTAGGCGTGAAAAATTCGGTTGAAGAAATTGGGCTTTGATATTCAAGAGGATGTACTTTTCCTCCATGATTTAACGGGCTGACTGGATACAATACACGAATTAGTATGCATTATAATAGTTTGCAAGCTACTAAGAGGGGCGGCCAATGCCGTAATTAAATTATTTTTATATAATTCGGCCTGAATCTCACGCGTCAGTTCTGCTGTATGCAAATGTCCAAACCATTTACATAGCAAAATTGTTTGGAGGAGAGGAAAAGGTTCTAGCTCCAAAAGTTTTTGAATTCGGCAGGCTCATGCAAATGCGCATAGTAGTCAAACCCCTCCCTCTCTCCAGAACAACAGTTTACATTTCTGATTCAAACGCCAGAAAGACATGTATTTTCTCTTTTTTACATTTCACACAATGCATGAACGTCGGACATGAACACATTTTGTGCTAACGCACTGCTCGGTGCAACAGTGACAATGATTGGCTGTCGGTCAGTTATATCTTAGCCTATAGCTGTGTTCACTATTCCGCTGTTACTGTAGTCCTTGTTGTACTATTAGAGCGCGAATATGCTGCCATTTTGTTGCTCTATTTTCACCTTCTTTCTTATTTTCTGTGTGCATTCAGACACATACAGTGAGCCTGGCGATGAAAAGTAAGTGCCTGAGTCCATTCGCTTCTGAACAGTTCGCAAAATAAATAGCTTATATATACAGCAAGGAACACTCAATAAGTGTTATTTGTACCGCAGCATTTTTCCGATTTGGTTGTGCCTAGCTTATAGTATTCTGTAAAGCGTCATCTGAGCTGTCTTTTAGTAACCACGTGTCGGAAAGAAGTGGTTCCTTAAATCGTTAAGTCACTAGAATAATCACTGAGCTGAACTTGATAGGCAACACAAAGCTTTCAGTTATCTCTTCTTCTGGCTTAACATCACCTCATAAGTGTATTATTATCTATTGATACAAAGCTAAATATCTTAAAAAAGGGCAGCGAAAAGTGTAGAATGACGAAATAAACAATTTCAATTTAGTTGGCGCTTTTTCTTTAATAGATAGCGTTGTGGATGCTTTCCGTTTTTTAGTGTTACGCTTAAGGCCAACTCTGTGTCTTAAATATCCTACCTATGGTACACTTTAAGGCTGTCAAGGCTTGCTTTTCCACTTGTGGTAGCTTGTCGACTTTCGAATAACTGATAATAATGTATAACAACTATTCTTGACATTCAAGATCCAACACCCTTCTCAAGAAGGAGACTGACGACTTCACAGACGTTGAAGAGAAGGGCCCCGACATCATACCAGATACTCCGCTCTGCCAAGTTACATATAAATGTACGTATTTAGGTGCAGTGTCGGAATAGCCCGTTTCATTCTAGGCACCATTGCCTAGTGGGGCAACTGCACCGGGCAACATAGGTTTATTGTAAGATTTGTTGTAATGGTTGTAGATTATTGTCCCCAAAATCTTTTCCGTCAGCTTGCTGCGACCCAAGATCACAGCATAAACTCTGATAATTTTATCGGTTACCTGCTTGTTCAGTTAATAATTGTTCGAGAAATTGACCAGTAAGAAAAAAAATTGAAGTCACTGTCTTGTTACTGTTATTTACCACCAATTATTTTATGCCGGGAATCACCAAGGCTCTAATGACGTATTTACGTCACGGATATGAATTTGTAAAATAGATCTTTAAAAACTGCGAATAACTAAAAGAAAAAAATTTGCGCACTTTGCACTGTAAGGAAACCTTGAGTAGTATGCAAAGCAACCATGGGTCGACTTAAAGTACGTAAAAATGTGTTCCTTACTCATCACCGTAGACATTCGTGGTTGCGCACAGGGCCGCTTTGCGAGCCCTCGCGTCCGCTGCACTCATGCTCATGTCTTCATTCATACTACTACGATTGGTGTGTGTGAGAGGGCGATGTAAGCCCGTTTATTATACAGCACAGCCCAGCGCTGCCAGCAGTTTCCACTCATAAAAGAGCACACTCCGGAGTGGAGCGAGCACTATACCACAGAGCCATCTAGTGGGCGCTCCGAATACTACCGTGGTTACGACTACGCACAAGGAACAAGCCGTGACTATAAGCTGCTTCGCATCTAAATCTTTCGTCGGCGGTAGTCGAAGCTAGAACCTTTCACTCTGCAGCGCGCGGCGCGACATGACACGGCCACAGAGCCTAAGTTCTTCAGCTCACTATCGGCGAGCTATTTTTGTGTACCATTTATTATTAGCGCTACCCGAAGCTAGATGGCACTTAGGCATGTTCTTTTTAACACTATCGTGATGGCGTGAAAAGTGAGAAGGGCTCGGAAGGAGTGCTTTAGTGGCCGTCGTTCTGCGTGCTACGATGCGCACGCACCTCTAAAGGGCGTGGGGGCTCGTGCGCACGCGCTTACTTTGCGATGCGTGCGGCTTATACGTTTTGTGCTTGCGCCGCATGCTTGCGCTGAAGTCAGAGAGCCCGAATTAAGGCTAACTCGGTAACTGTAGTGGCCTCGTTACCGAGAAGAGCGCGCTGCTCACACACAAAGAATTAACAGCTCTAGCAGTTCCTTGCGCTCATCCTGTGTGTACCTGTGCGTTCGTTTGTTCAGCTTTTTTGTGTGTGTTTGAGCTGAACACTTCAAGTGTCAAGCTGTGACAGTTGTTCGCAATCGTCCCGTGTATGTTCTTTTTGTGCGTTCTTTCTGCTTATGCACGAGCTGCAAAATTCGAGCTGCTTGCCTTCATTTACGTCATTCAACTTTGCCACTATAGCATTCATAGCTTTGCCTTTGTGGCAAAATGGTGCACAATAAACGTTGAACTACATCTGTGACGGTCAATGTTTCTTCAGCGCTGCACAGATTATCATGAAATATAGATCAGCCGTGCATTTTTTACTTCGCTTTCTTAATTTCTGAAAGAATATCCACATGTCTGCATTTTATGTATTAGCGTCTTCAATCTTGAGTGGCCACTTCTAGCCTTCATTGAATTTGACACAACCAAAATCAAGAAAAAGAGATGCCCCAAGCTGACCAGAAATATTATTTAGAAATATCTGTGTGTTTTTCAGTGCATTACAATTTAAGACATTTTATAATAAACGCTGTTACGGCTAAAAATTTGAGATCAATAGAGGTTTCATTATTGCGTAATTTACAATATTAAAATGCATATCTAGCGGATACATCGAATAATGCTGTAAGCAACAACGTCAGTCTTGTGAGTGTTTGTCTGTGACAAAGATAACATACGAAGTAACACATGCGGCAGCCAAAGTGCTATTTTTATTATTTAGGTGTTAAATGGAGTTCTAAAATATTCGGCGCAAAAACAACGTTCCTGTTTATTCCTAAAATCCAGCATGCATTGTAGTACAGCATTCCGTGTAATAAAAAAAATGACAGGCCCGCGCGTTAGGCGCAGCACAGTCACAGCAAAGGCTAAAAGAGCGGCCTTTCAGAGCCTTTTCAAGACACTCATTGGGTAACTACTGCAAGCATGCTTCCTTGATACTCACTAGGGCAATATTAATAAACTGTGTCCATGCAGTGGCTGACGACGACTAGAAATTATGGCTGAAGTAGGTATGCGCCACAGATAATAGGGGGACAAAAAGAAGCTTTTGTGACGGTTTAAAGCATTGGATGGCCCACTCGTTGCGCTATTCGCATTGTGCGACGACTTGCTGTTTTTTCGCTCTTCTAAAACTCTTTGTAAGTCATATTAACGTGATTGAGTTCCAGACATCAAGCCTGCCTAAGACAAGTTTGACAACAAATAACAAGCACCGGTGTAACTCAGTGGTAGAATATTGGGCTAGCATGCAGCGGATCCGGGTTCAAGCCCCACTATGTCATTGGTGCAAGGTTTGTTTTTTATTTTCGCGCGATGTGGTTAGGGACCCCAGCTGCGGCGGCGGCGGCGGACAACAGCGACTGCGCGTGATCCGAAAAGTGATCTCATCACAGTTTCGGCTGTAAATGTCGGCTTGATCATACCCACGTCTCATATGTTCTTTTGCTTTTCTGTTTTAGCTTATGGTTGCGATCAAGATGAAAAAGCAGAGTATGCAAAGGAGCCTCTAACAAACTACTGCACTCTTCCTGCATCCACAAGGAAGGCTGGCGCAGCCGAATTTCCATGGAGAAGCCACTGTACCAATAACGTAAGCTTTTCTGCAATGCACTCAAGCACGCACATTTCAAATCCTTTTGCGACAAAACTTCAGCGGATACTACTTGACGGACGCACGTGTATTACGTAAGGCAAGGCTTTGCTTTCTGATTGGCATGCGGAGTGTGTATATACACTCGTACTAGGGCCGGTTACATCGGCCTCATCGGTGGCGGTTGTTATCTCGGTGAAGGCAGTTGCACCGCTTAGAGGTTGTGCAGCGAAGTAGTTTACCACGAACGGTAACCAGTGCTGAAAGCGCAAATTTTAACAGAGTGCAACGAACCTCTGGCGATTTGTTGTTCGCAGGAGGATCGAGCGTTGGGAGCTTCGGGTGTCGAACTGGCTTTTCCAATAACAGCACGCCGACTGGGTCCCGTCGGGTCCACCGCGAGCTTGCCTCGGCCACAGCGCTTCTACCTGGACCAGGTGTCACCGGACGGCAATGGCACGGGTCCCGTGGATTTCCCTCGCAGCGGCGTGCTCAGACCACTGGCGTCAGCGCACAGGCTGCCTCGTCGCTCACGCAGCAACCTGGAGGACTTCGGTTCAGTGCTTTCCAACGACTCACTCGAGAGCACAGTCTGAAGTGTAGCTGCGGATGTTTCACAGTGTTCTTGGCCTGGATCGCCGAAGGCTTTGATTGAACAGGGTACGAGGATTCTTTTCAATTTTGTGGGTGTTTTTTTAACCTTCCTGTCTGTAAGAAAACAAAAAGAAAGTTTTAATGTTGTAGTGTGGTGATAAGCACTATGAAGCACATGTCAATAAAAAACTTCGGGAGTAAGAAAGAGAGTACGGGACACCATCAGAAACGTAGGGGGCATGAATATATACATGGCAAGATTAGTAATTTTTGCTTATAAGTGTAATAAGATGTGTACATATCAATAAGCCCGGCCCTTATTGGGCTTATTGTCAATATCAATAAGCCCGGCCATATCAATAAGCCCGCCGCTGCCGTCGCCGCTGGTGTACAAGACCGGTATGGAAAGAAAAAAAAAATCAGTAATTAAAAAAAACACCAATGACAAAATAAACTTAGGACCCGGGTCTGCTGCGTGGCAGCCCAATATTTTACCAAAGAGGCACGTCAGTGCTTAAACTCGTTTTTAAAATGGTCATAGGTAGGCATGAAGTCTGGAAAGGAATCGTGTTAATAGGAGTAATAAAACGTTTTAGAACATCAAATGAACAGTCCGGCGTCAAACAATGGGAATCGCCTGAGGAGTGGGCTGTGAAATGCTTCAATCATTAGAAAACTTCTTCTTGATCACCTATTAAGTGTAGCGCATAACCACTGCAGGCATAAATCTTCATCCTTCACAGCCATTGCATAAAAACTGCACAAAATTTTTAACAAGTGTGTAGTGGATACCATGCTTCTTCAAAAGAGTGACAAAAGGTAGCATAGCCTGCTACACAAAAATAATGATTATTTATGGCGTAGTGGGTACCCAGCAGAGTGCATGTAGCAGTGACCCGGAGAGTGTTTAGAAAAGAAAGGCTCTGAAAGGCTGCTCTTTTGGATTTCACTGTGACTGTGCTGCACGGTACGCGCATGCCTGGCGTTTATTAATACTTCGTTTACAGCTTCTAACATTTTTATTCTCTTTTTTATGCTCTTCCTTCCACGTATATATCTCTCCCCTTGCAGAGTATAGCGTGGGAATGACTTCTGTACGCTGGCTACATGCTCTGCATTTCCGTAAATATACTGTTTCATGTGCAAATGGTAATGCAGGACACAATACAAAAGTACCTTGCCTAGTATTAGTCTCTATTTCGACGATTTCGGATAATTATATAGTTTTGGGTTCATTAAGTAATACGGCTTGGTGGCGCTAGCCACCACCCGATCTAAAGGGTACAGCCATATCCATCCATCCATCCATCGTGTCCGTGTTTTCAATGGATATCCATGGAGGAAGGAAAGTTGTGTTTTCACACAGAACACCTATACATTTCCACGTGTGTACTCGGGCTGGGATGTTGCGTACAGAAAGTTTTCGACTGCATTTTTAGCGGAAATGGAATATTAGCAACATGCTGGGAAGTTTACGCACGTGGAGCTAATATTACAAATTATTCCAGCGAGTACATCTTACGTTACTGATTCGCATCACAATATTAGGTCACTCTAACAATACTGTGGGACTCCTTCCTTTCTCTATATATACCTTTTAATCCTATCCTTTTAATGCCTCCTCACCCCTATCCCCTGTGAGTTACTGTTGAGGTGTCGCACGCTGGTGCAGACAGTTACGGGGCTCACTTTTCTTTTCCCTTTAAAAACCACATAAGACATGGAAACACAAGGCCCGTTCGATTTAACTGCACTGCCTGAAATAGTGCACGTGGTGCCACACTCGACAGTTCGTTTTGGTAGGGCAAGTTGGCACCCTCTCAATTGAGCCATCCCTTTGAAATAAGTTCAGGCATCGTGCACGGCCAGTTCAGACAAATCCCTGCACCAAGTTTGGAGGTAGTGCAACTCGAGTACAAGCAGTGACGCTGTTGCAGCCAAGGTAGCAGGCGAATTATACGTAAACGTGATCCAAGCGTATACGCGCAAAGCGCAGCTCAGTAAAAGGGAAAGCTGGAAGAACGCCATTTCTAATGCCCGTTGTAAACTCTCTTGGAGCCACTATATACAAGTACACTTGCGAGGAACCCACTAAGCCATAAATCATAACTCTTGGGAAGGTGGGAATTACCCATTAAGAATTATTTGTAATTTTGCGGAGAAGCGAGGTACCTGCTACAGATCTTCAAGGCATTAAGTGCACTCTGTTGATGCGGTAGCTGATGATGATGGAGAAGACTAGCTGAGCCCTGTGTAATTGGTTGGAAGCATTCAACGATCCGATCGTTACGCACTTCGCATTGTGTGACGCTTGGTTGTTATTTTACTATTCAACCGTGCTACATTGCACATGTTGAGTGGCCCCGCAGGGGCGTCTGCGTAAGCAAGCGTTTGGTGTGTAGCGACACCACGGACCGTCGAGCTAACGGGGGGTGGGGGGGGGGAAGGGGTTCAATTCCCTCCCACGCCTAGCCGTGCGTGGCTTTGCCGTGACCGGGGAAAAGGGGATCCGGGGGGTTGAGCCCACGCTGGGTGATTGGACCTCTAAGGCCCCCCGGCAGAGGCAACACACCCCTTTGGTCCTGGCTTCACGTAGACGGCGCCCCTGAAATGACCCACCCAGGGGAAATCGGCAGCCGCCTTTTCCTATCTCTCCCTCCCTACATCTTCGTCTTTATTGCTCACTTCTTACCTGTCCTGTCGTCTTCTCTTTTCCGTTTACTTCCAAATTTCTTGGCGGCTAGGGTTAACCCTGGGAAACTGACTTCCCTTGGTCAGGACCACTGAGTTATAGTAGCAATGTATGGCTAACGTGTGTATACGTTCCCCTAGTTGGACTCCATGGTGGGGGGCCAGCATAGCTACCGAATGGACATGCTTTTCTATGGAAAAAAGTACCCCCCCTCCTTTCCACAATAATCGGTCCCGTAAAAGGGGTCTCACCGAAGCAAATAGAAACTTTCTGACTAAAGAGAGTAATTACACGAAATTCCTTATTGTAACGTCATTGACTGAAACTAAGATTCAGGACATATCACCATTCCCGATTGCAAAAGCAATCAAAGAATGCATTGTAAGCAATTACAGTGCAAAAAAAAATGAATTCAGGAGATCTCCTCATAGAAGTGAAAAACAAAGAACAAAGTGACAAAATTAGACACCTTGGAAAAATCAGACAACATGAAGTCCATGTAACAGCTCACCGATCTTTCAATTACACGCGAGGTGTAATATCGGACAATGAACTGCTCAAGTGCACTGATGCAGAAATTGAGGATGCTTTAGCGGATCAAGGTGTACTTGCCGCACGAGCAATCATCATTCGTAGAGATAAGAAAGAAACCCGCACAAGGAATGTAATACTAACATTATCAAGCACGACGCTTCCTTCTGCAGTTAAGGTAGCGTACCTTTACCTACGTGTGAGGCCCTACATACCGAATCCTCGCAGGTGCTTGCGGTGCCAGAAGTTTGGGCACGGGTCTCATTCATGTCGTGGTAGTGCAATCTGCATGAAATGCGGCCAGAATGAACATGATGATGGCGAGTGCACCAACCCTTTGAATTGTATGAACTGCAAGGGGCCCCATGCAGCGTACTCACGCTCCTGCCCAGAATGGCAAAAAGAAAAAGACATACTTACACTGGAAACCAATGAAAACATACCGTATCCAGAAGCGCGCAAGCGATTGGTTCTTGCCCAAAAGGGCACTTACGCTGAAGCGGTGCGAAGGGGGAAGGCACCGCCAACGGTCTCTGTAGGCACACAGGTCGAACTCCAGGACCTAGTGGCCACGGTCCGTCGCCCAGACAAGAGCGAAAAAAAAAGACACCAAGTGCCTTCTTTCAGGGAGGCCCCAAAACCTCGACCAGTGTTGGTGTTAGCCAACCTAATGTCGAGGCAAAAGAGGTATCAACAACGGTGCCGAGTAGCCTGCCTCACTTGAGGAGGCCAGCATCCTCGCCGGGCACCAACACTGTTGAGCACCCTGGTGGTGCTGAATCCATGGACGTGAGTCTATCGGACACTGAAAGCCTGACAGACCCTGCTCTAACTAGCAGGGCGATCAGGCAGCCCATCATTCTTCCCTGCCAAAGAGAGAAAGGGAGCCGAAACACATTTTCGGCCCCACAAAAAAAGAAGTGACAAAGCACACGGATAGTGTCGCTTTTTAGCTTATGCACAAGTAACTCAAAATACTAAGTTTTATACACATCATTTCACGTAATGGCATACATCATCCATTGGAACTGCAGAGGCATGACACGAAACTTAAGCGACATTAAGGACATATTTACAAGCTTCTCTCCTGTGGCGTTATGCTTGCAGGAGACGAATCTGGGACCAAAAAAAAAATTGCCCGCAGCTTCCCTCGGGGGAACACTGAGGAGGATGCGGACCATATAACTGGTTAACGGGGTGTTAAAGTGCGACTTACTTGGGTCGATGGCTAAGTTGGTTAACGTGGTTGTGAAATGGGGTGTTAAATTGCGACTTACTTGGGTCGATGGCTAAATTGGTTAACGTGGTTGTAGGAGGGGGTGTTAAATGAGTGAACACGTACACACGTATGCGAAAGGGCGGCGCTGGTCGAAGGGACGTCGATCATTGTGTTTGTGGATTCGTTGGAATTCATTTCACCGCGACCTTGGACGTCGACGCGCCGTACAAACCAACCGACGAGCGGCAACTGAGCGAGCGAGCGCCGACCTTGAGTATATAAATAGCACGACACGACGGCTCATGCACTGTCAGCTGTTGAATGTTCTCGAAGCGCGACGCCACATGCGCGTCCACTGGAGAATCAGGAGAATTGTAGATGTCGAACGCGGTGTGTAGAGGAGGAAGGGTGCACAGATGGTGGAGGAGTGAAGCGCGCGCGGTGTGTAGAGGAGGAAGGGATGCACAGATGGTGGAAGAGTGGGCGACGGCGCGACGGCGCATGCGCGCGCGTCAGCTGTCGAATGTTCGAGAAGCGGTGCGGACGGCGCACTACAAGGCGCGAGTATAAGATGCTCCGCATCTAAAAACACCAAAATACTAAAAGGTTACACTGTTA